TTTTCAGGAAAACTGTGGGGGGCGGAATTTGGTGGAGGAAAGATGGACTTGCTTGAGATCATATGGGGAGACAGCTGGAATTGGGGGACATTTGAGGGTCGATGTAGAAACCTAGTACAGTAGAAAATTCCTGGAAATTCTCACAGGAAGACTTAACCACGACCTTGAAGAAGGACCTATTCCAGTGTTTAACTGTTGTTCTCTAAAGGGCATTGTAATAGTGAACCACAATCATCCTTGATAAACTTTAGAATCATGTGATAAATGACTTCTGGGCATGCCTCTGAGGGATATCTTAATTAGGTTCATTGAGATGGAAAGACCTGCCCCATTATACATGGCAACATTTTCTGAGATGGAATACTAGAGTATATAAGGAGAAAGTGAGCTGAGAACAACTTGCTTCTTACTGCCAGGGTCTGGCAAAAAATATAGTTAATACATGCTGGCTGAAACAGTGTATAAATTCTGTACTATCTGTTGGATGTCAACTTTGACATCACTTCAAATTTTCCCTCAACCATGAGTGAAATTCAATTCGAGCATTCCTTTCTCCCTTGCCTCTCTTTGCTGATGAGGGAGTTACTTGTGCAGTATACTGAACTAACTTAATTATGATAATGATTGAGCATAAGTCTTATCTTGTTAGAGCCTATTAGAATGAGAGAATACAAGATACCTTTTTAAAAGTATAGAAAATGTGTTTTTTTTCTGTCTTTGCTCTTTGAGGGTCTGTCTTACAGCTCCCAAATAACTACATGGAGATTTATTCTTATTTATAAATACCCAACTTTAGCTTGGCTTAATTCTAGCCAAATTGTCTTAACTTACATTACCCTGTCTATCTTTTGCCTCTGGGCTTTTAGCTTTCTCTATTCCATATACTTTCTTTACAGACTCAGGTAGCTGGCTATGAGGCTTGATGGCTGGCCACTATCATCCTCCTCTCCTTCTCCCTTTCTCACTCTACCCTTTTACATTCTTTTCCTTCTGTTTATTCGCTCTGCCTGGAAGTATTACCATTCCTCTTCTGCCTAGCTATTGACTGTCCAGCTCTTTATAAGACCCAACCAGGTACTTTAGGTTTACAGAGTAAAACAAATGCAACATAAAAGAATTCAATACATCTTTACAACATTAAATAAATATTCTACAGCATAAATGAATGTAACACCTCAAAAGTATTCCACAAAAAAAAGTGTATTGCTGGATCTTGAGCTAGACTGGTTCCCATTTTCCAGAGAAGCCACCATACTGATTTCCAAAGTGGCTGTAGAAGTTTGCACTCCTACCAACAGTGGAGTTATCCACATCCTCTCCACCATAAACTGTGTGTTGGTGTTTTTTATTTTAGCCATTGTGACCGGTGATATCTCAGAGTTGTTTTCATTTGCATTTCCCTGATGGCTAAGGGTGTTGAGCACTTTATGATGTGTCTTTTTGTCATTTTAGATTCCTCTGTTGAGAAGTCTCTATTTAGTTCTGTATCCCACTTTTAAATGAATAATTTGGTGTTTTGATGACTAGTTTATTGAGTTCTTTATATATTTTGGAAATCAGCCCTCTGTCAGATGTGGGGTTGGTGAATATCTTTTCCCATTCTGTGGGTTGTCATTTTGTCTTGTTGACTATGACCTTTGCCTTACAGAAGCTTCTTAGTTTCAGGAGGTCCCATTTGTTAATTGTCAATGTCAGTATCTGTGCTACTGGTGTTATGTTCAGGAAGTGGTTTCCTGTGCCAGCCAATTTGTTCAAGGGTACCTCCCAGTTTCTCTTCTAATAGGTTCAGTGTGGTTGGATTTATATTGATGTCTTTCATCCATTTGGACTTAAGTTTTGTACATGGTGATAAATATGGATCTATATGAAATGTTCTATATGTCCACAACCAGTTATGCCAGCACCATTTATTGAAGATTCTTTCTTTTTTCCATTGCATAGTTTTAGCTTCTTTGTCAAAAATCTGGTGTTCAAAAGTGTGTGGGTTAATACCATGGTCTTCAATTTGATTCCATTGGTCTACCTGCTGTTTTTGTGCCAATACCAAGCTGTTTGCATTACTATAGCTCTACAGCAGAGTTTGAAGTCAGGGATGGTGATGCCCCCCTGAAGTTCCTTTATTTTACAAGATAGTTTTGGCTACCCTGGGTCTTTTGTTTTTCCATATAAAGTTGAGAATTGTCCTTTGAAGGTCTGTGAAGAATTGTGCTGAGATTTTGATAGGGATTGCATTGAATCTGTAGATTGCTTTTGGTTAAGATTGCCATTATACTATGTTGATCCTACCTATCCAAGAGAATGGGATATCTGTCCATTTTCTGATATCTTCTTTAATTTCTTTCTTTAATGATTCAAAGTTCTTGTCATATAGGCCTTTCTCCTGCTGGGTAGAGTTACCATAATATACTTTATGTTGTTTGTGGCTATTGTGGATGCACATACATACAACAAGGACATCTGTTCCACTATGTTCATAACAGCATTATTTGTAATAGCCAGAACCTGGAAGCAATGTAGATGTCCCTCAACTGAAGAGTGAATCAAAATAATGTGGTATATTTACACAATGGAGTACTACTCAGCAGAAAAACAATGGAATCTTGAAATTTGTAGGCAAATGGATGGAACTAGAAGAAACCATCCTAAGTATGGTAACCCAGTCATAGAAAGACAAGCATGGTATGAACTCACTCATATATGGATATTAGTCATAGAAGATATGATTACTTGTCTACAGTCCACACCTCCAGAGAAGGTAGGAAACAAGGAAGACAGTAGGAGAGACATACACAGTCCCCCAATGAAGCAGAAGGGAACAAGAGTCCCTGAACTAATTGGAAGCATGGGGGAGGGAAGGAGGAGAAAAGAGGAGCAGGGAGGAGAATGTGAGGAATCAGGAAGATTGAATGGGGAGAGGAATATAAAAGAGCAAGAAAAGAAACACATCAATAGAGGGAGACACTATGGGTTTAAAGATAAATCTGGCACTAGGGAATTATACAAGATCCACAAGGACCCCAACTAGAAACCTAAGCAATAGTGGAGGGGCTACCTTAAATGCCTTTCCCCTATAATGATAATGAAAACTACCTTAAATGTCATCCTAGAGCCTTCATCCAGTAGCTGATGGAAGCAGAAGCAGAGATCCACAGCTAAGCACTGAGCTGAACTCCTAGAATTTAGTTTCAGAGAGGGAGGAGTGATGAGCAAAGGGCTCAAGACTATGCTGAGGAAACCCACAGAAACAGATGATCTGATCAAGTGGGAACTCATGGGCCCCAGTCTGACATCTGGGGAACCAATATAGGACCAAACCAGGCCCCCTGAACTTGGGTGTCATCTAGGAGCACTGGGAAGTCTATGCGGCCTCTGGCAAGGGAACCAGGATGTATTTCTAGTACACAAACGAACTTTGGGAGCCCATTTCCCAAGGAGGGAGGACTTAGGTCCTGCCCCAAATGACTTGACAGATTTTGGTGATCCTCCATGGAAGGCCTCACCCTCCCTGGGGAGTGGATGTGAGTGGGATAGGGGGTCAGTGGGAAACATGGAAGGATGGTAGGGAGAGAGAACTGGGATTGATATGTAAAATAAGATTGTTGTTAATTTAAATAAAATTATTAAATACTAGGTTAGAGATCAAAAAAACAAAAAAATATGTGTATTACTTTTTCCTCTGAGAAGGTAAGTTAAGTCTAAATTTTCTTTGACATTGAAAGAAAATGAAGACTAAGAAAGGAAGTGCACTCTCTGCACTCTCTCTCCATCACACACTCACACACACACTCACACACTCACATACACACTCACACACACACTCACACATTCATAACATAATCTACTATGTATGTATACGTGCTCAAACATGCGCATGTGGGTGTAATAGACATATGAATTAACTATTGATAATACTATTTTCCTACATCCTACACTCACAGACATTCTGACCTCATTTAGAATGGATTGAATCTTTGAACTCTTGTTTTGGGTTTCACTATGTGACTTACTTTTGTCTATAGCAGGTCAACAGAAATGATATTTTGTTTGTGGTAAGCCTAGGATTTGAGAGACCTTGAACACTTCTCTGTAGTTCCCTGTAATTCTTAAAGGAAAGAATTCCTTAGGCACCTACTGTCTTCAGAATGCATGCATACAGAATGTCACAGTCACTCTAGACACAGCCTAAATAGGAGCCCTGCATTGGGCCTTTGTTGGATCAATAGACCTACAGACAATGTCCAGCTTAGGTACCAATAACTTGTGATTTAAACTACTACATGTCATAGCGGTTTCTCTAGACAACTGTACTTAATAAATCAGTGTACTAGTTCATCATTTCTTTTGTGTATGTGTTTTTGTTTTCCTTTTTCTTCTTGTTTGTTCTTCTCTAGTACAATACATCCCAGCCACAGTTCTTTTTCCATTCACTACACCCAGCACCTTCCCACCTCCCAACTCCCCTCTCCCCCAAATCCACTCCTCCTCTGTTTCCCTTCAGAAAAGAGCAGGGATATCAACTAAACACAGCATTACAAGATACAGCAAGACTAGGCACAAACACTCATATCAGGCCTGGGCAAGGAAACCCAGTAGGAAGGTAAAGGTCCCAAGAGCAGCTAAAAGAATCTGAGACATCCCACTCACACTGTTAGAGGAATCCCACAAAACACCAAGATGACAACCACTACTTATTTGCAGAGGACCCAGTGCAAACCCAAGCAGGCTCTGTGGTTGCCTTGCCAGTTCTGTCTCTGTAAACCCCCCTGAGATGGGCTTCCATGTTCTCCTGGTGTCCTCAACCCCTCTGGCATCTACAATTTTCCAGCCCCTCTTCTGCAGGGTTCCCCAAGCTCCAAGAGGAAGGACCCAGCAGAGATCTCTAATTTGGGCTTTGTCCACCTAGTGTTGACTGTGGGTCTCTGAATCTGTTCCCATCAGCAGCCTGTGGAAGCCTTTCTCATGATGACTGGGCTAGGAAACAATCTATAAGTAGAACAGAATACCATTAAGAATCATTTTAATGATTTTTTTCTGTTACAGTCATCTCTTCACCAATGTTGTCCAGGTTGAGTTTTATCACTTGTAACCCATAGTCACAATAGTAGAATTTGAAAATGAATGACACATACTTGAGTTAGATTTGGGTTTTATAACAACAAACCAGTCTTATTTTTCATAGTTACAGAATATAGATACAACAGGAACTATGGTTGATTTTCATAACTGATCACTTTTATCTTACTCTCTGTTTATCAAAGGACTATTATTCTATACATGTGCATTCTAGTTTCAGCTCCTTCTTTCTCATTGTTCTGCTGATGAGTTAATTGTTACCAAATGATGAATCCTCTTATTTTCTCTTTTTTCTGCACACATTGGAATATTTCTCTTCTGATACCTAAGAAAAAAGAAACAAAATGTTCTTAGTGGGTACACAGTGAGAAGCAACCACAAGGTTGCTAGCAAACTATGCTCATCCTGGCTAGGAGCCTGCATACCACAAGAAAGAGAAATGGAGAAGCCCAGGTGACTGAGCCAGACAGCAAGCAGTATGAGACGTTGCCAGCTCTTTCAGAATTAGCAGTCAACGAAGATGATATAGTACTCCAATGGGATGAAATGAGATTTGAATAAAATAAAGCAAAACTCTCATTTGATCTCTAATGGTAGCAGTGAAGCATATTCCAGCCACATATTAATAACAGAACACACTGAAGGACAAGATGAGTCTATAATCACAAATGATAAATACTTACCTAGGAGGAACCACACTAAATGATGCAGAAATAAATGAGGTTGAGAGAATCAATAGCCCAAGCTGAAAATATCACAAAAATACTTTCCCACTTGTATATGGCATTATTTAAAATATCTAACGATGGAAGCCAACAAGGTGTCCAACAATGAGGAATGAATATAGAAAACGAGAAAATGTAAGGTTTACACACAGTGGGATTTCTTTCAACTACAAAAAAATGTTTTATTATTCCCAGGAAAAATGGATGCAATGAAAGATGTTGTACTGAGCAAATTAGGCCAGTCTCAAAAGACAATAGTGTCCCCCTTTTTGGTTGCTAGATCTTTAGGCAAGTTGTGTGTGTGTGTGTGTGTGTGTGTGTGTGTGTGTGTGTGTGTATGTGTGTGTGTGTGTGTGTGTGTATGTATAGGACCAGATACATTTGGTCCTGAGGAAGGGACAGATCCTATAAAATCACATCTGATGAGAGACAGTGTTGATCCAATCCAGTTCTAGGTCTCAAGCAAAGCAGCCCAGCGTCAAAGAAGAGGACAGAGGTGAGCACATTATTTTTGGTCAGTGAAAGGGATACATCATTTTGTAATTTTCTTTTTAAAACAAGAATGAAGTTATGGTGATTCTCTAAAACGGAGGAGGAAGGCAGGAAGGGAATATGCAGGCTAAAGGTTAAAGGTCAGAGCTACTCATATGCCAATAGCTCAGAGACAGACCTACCAATTAAGCAACAAACTCAAATAAAAATTAGCCAAGTTGATGATGTCTTCATGCTCTGAGATCACCAGTTTACCTGTTTGTTCAAAGGCAAGTCTTCTAAGAAATCATTGACAGTATACAGGATCTGTTTCAGTGCCAAGAGGATGAGCACATCCTTCACGGGGTCCAGATACCATTCCGAGACATAATTACTAACCACCAAGATGTCAGAAAAGGCGAAACCAAAGTCTCTATGGACTGCTTCTAGCTGAAATACAAAATTTTAAACCCAGAGCTCTGTAAAAATGAGATCAACGAGAACACATTTAAAATAAATGTCAGTACTAAGGAAGAAACAGGAGGAGGCCAGGGGCTTGCTAGTCTACCAGTCCTGTCAAACAAATGTGCTATAAGTGCAGCGAGAGACTTAATCTCAAAAAGTAAAGTGGAGATCAGTTAAGAAGACACCTAATTGAATCATGACTTCCATACATATATGTGATTATATACATATAAGAATGAGCACACATACACACTCACACAGAGATGCATACACACAACCTCTCAGGTGTCTTGAAGTAGTAAAAAGTCTAATTCCAATGTAAATTATCAGAGAAGCAGTAAAAAGCAAGAGCTTTATAATCATTTTCCTATATTAAAAAAACAAGAAAAATCCTCTGCAGTACATTCTTGAGCAACTAAACTCCCCATCAAGTTCCAATATCACCATTATTTTTTTATTTAAAATGTATTGATACAGCAGACATGAGTTAAAAACAAGTGTCATGCTCATGGATCATTAGGACTAACATTGTGGAAATGGCCATCCTACCAAAACCAAACTACAGATTCTATGCAATCCCCATCAAAATTCCAACATAATTACTCACAGAAAGTTAGAAAACATCTCTGACTTCATATGGAAATACACACACACACACACACACACACACACTCACACAAGGAAAACACAATCACAAAAACAAGCCTGAACATCAAGAGGACTGAGAGACTGGTGGGGGTAGCACCATCCCAAATTTGAAATTGCATCACTGAGCTACAGTAATAAAGTCATCATGGTATTGGCATAAAACAGGCATGTGGATCTATGGAGTCAAAGCAAAGACCCAAACATAAGATCACACATCTATAGACACACAGTTATTGACAAAGAACATAGAAATACACCCTGGGAAAAAAAGAAAGCACCTTCAACACATGGTGCTGCTCCAACTGGGTGGCTACATGTAGAAGAAAAAAATATAGATCTATATTTACCACCCTGCAAAAAAACTCAACTCCAAATGGAGTTTCACAAATCGATTTAAGACCAGATATACTAACCCTAATAGAAGAGAAAGTGGGGCTTAGCCTTGAATTCATTTGCACAGGAGAAGACTCTCTGAATAGAGCACCATTAGCGCAGGCGCTAAGACCAACGGCTAATAAATGGACCTCATGAAACTGAAAAGCTTCTGTATGGCAAACCAGCAACTTACAGAATATAAAACTATCTTTGACAATTATACATCTGATGGAGTGTTATTATCTAAGACATATTAAGAACAAAATAATATGCTCATAAAAAAACTAAGCAGCCCAATTAAAAAGATGGGGTATAGAATGAAGCCAAGAGTTCTCAAAGATGTAAAACAAAAGACTAGGAAAGGCTTGCAGAAATATTAAGCATCTTTAGTCATTACAGAAATGCAAGTCAAGACTACTTCGGAACCTCATCTTACCACAGTCATAATGGCCCAAATCAATAAAACAAGTGACAGCTCAAACCGGCGAGGACATGCAGAAGAGGAAAACTTTCTAGTTGGTGCTGGGGGCCAGGGGGTGACAAGCTGGTGCAACCACCATGGAAACTGGTGTGGTGGTTCCTTAGGAAGCTGGGAATGGTCCTACCTCAAGATCCAGCTATACCACTTTTAAGCATACATACCCAAAGGACTCCTGCTGCAGAGATACTTCTCATCCATGTCTATTGTACTCTGTTCATAAAAGTCAGAAATTGGAAACAGACCAGGTGTCCATCAACTGACTAATGGATAATAAAAAATGTGGTACATTTACACAATGGAATATTATTCAGTTGTCAAGAAAATTAGATTATGAAATTCATAGGTGGAACTAGGGAAAAAATTACTAATGCAATCTAGACCCCAAAAGACTAATGCTGTATGTTTTCTCTTGTGTGTGTTACCTTTAAGGTTTTGTTATGTGTGCTGCAATCTGAATAACTATGGAGATAAGGTACTTGGTGGGGGGAGGGGTAAAGGGAGAAATTTCCCAAGGAATGGAAAATCTAATATAGTGTTATGGAGGGATAAAGGGAAAACTAGAATAGGAAAATTAAATAGGGAAGAGGATGGGAGAAATGAGTAAAGGAGGAAATACGAGGAAGGACAATTAACACCGAAGGCAAATGGAAACACAATAATGAAACCTTCTAAGGTGTAAGATTCCTGTACTCCTATATTCCTATATGGATGGAGTCATCAAATAATAGTGGGAACAATGCCCCAACTAGACATCTTATGCTAAGTAAAACCTCCCGTGCCAGAGATGGGTTACATCTTTTTGAGTCATTGCCAAAAAGAGTCCCATGGATTGCCGCCCACCACTACTCTGCTAAGGAACATCATAAGCTGTTGCCAAGTTACTAGTCTCTGTCTACAACTTGATAGTCATGCCTTACTGCTTAAGATACCTGTATATATCTTAGAACAAAGAGAAACTGAGCCAGTGTCTAACTAAAAGCTTCACCCCTATAGCCTAGCATTCATGGTACTAGATGGTGATTTGCATCCTACTGGAGGAGAGAGATAACTATCTATGTCTCCCATCTACTCTCCCTGTGAGTACAACAGTGACCTTCCTGAAAGTCAGACTGGTGCAATAGTTTTGCACATGTTACTGGAATAACCATCCACCTTTAGACTGGATTTAAGGCACACTCCATGAGAAGAAAATCATCCTTGGCACTACTGAAGGGACCAAGAACCTGAGACCAGATAGGTCAGGGACCTAGGAGAAAACCTAATATTATTATTGCACCAAAGGAGCAAAGCAAAAAAAAGTAACTCATAATGGCATTGTGCTAGACACATGGATCAATGCCTTATTCAATCCACACCAGAGAAGTTTTCTTACAGTAGACGAGAATTAACACAGTGAATCAAAATATACAATGAACAGAGAGTGAAAGACTTTGGAGCACTCAGCACTAAATGGAATATCGTCACTAGACTCTCCCCCTCCACACCACAGACCCGCCCTGCCAAGGCTGTGGATGCATACAGAAGACGAGGCAGAACGGTTGCAAGAATAAGGAGGCAAAAGTATATATGACTACAATACCACTGTGTCTTCCAGATACAACAGGACCACACACACACACACACACACACACACACACACACACACACACACACACGCAGAGTGTGACAGAACGCATAAACCTTACAAAGGTTCAAACCTGAGGGGTGGAATGAACACAGGCTCCCACCCCTAAACTGAAAATATGTGGTGTTGGGGAAGTCTTATGCCAATAAAGCACTGTCTGGCCAATAGGGAATCTAGATAGGAGGGACTAGGAGTCCAGGAGGACTCTGGGAAGGAGAAACACGAGAGAGTCAATATGTAACACCATGAGGTAGGAGCCCGGAACTGTTCTCCAGTAAGAGACATACTTAGATTAACAATTATGGGGTAATTACTTAAAGCAGAGCTAGCCAGTAAGAGACAAGCAAGGCCAACAGCTTCATAATTAATATAGCCTCCTGTGTGTTTATTTGGGACTGATGCGGCTCTAGAACCAGGCTGGCGGGAAGGCTCCTCTCAAAGAAAAAGCTTCTCTTTACAGATTAATACAGCATCTTGTGTGTTTATTTGGGGACTACAATGCAGCAGAGCCCAGGCAGCTGGCAGGGGATAAACCAAAGCGGCTAGCAAGGAAAAAGCTTCTCTTAACACTGTGGTAATTGTACCCACTGACAAAAGGAGAATCTGTTGGAGTGTCACTGAATATATTAGCCTCAGGGTGGGCTCTACACCCAGGAACAGTTGGCCAACACAAAAAAGAACTTCGTGGGGTTTTTTGTTTGTTTTGTTTTTGTTTGTGGGAGGTTTGTTTTGTTTTGGCTTTTTGTTTTGATTTTAGTATTGTGGGTTTTGTTAAACTATATTATCATCATTTTAATATACATGAGCTATTGTCCACAAATTCCAGTTTCCTTTTATAAGGCGTGTACAGGATAAGTCAATTTTTATTAGACTTGTTTAGCACTTAATTCTTGCTTAGAGTAAGTCATCCTGAACTTAGACCACCTAGGCTGTCAATATAGCTCTGTCATTTCTTAGCACTATTAACAAACATTGGCAAAGGCTTGCTTCTGGTTCATTTTTCTCCTCATCTATACCGCAGTGTTAACTGTGCCTATCTCCCAGGATAGCAATCATAATTGAAGAAAAAAATCTATCTCTTGTGCTCACAGCTCTCATATCTGTATGTTTTTGCCTTTGATCTATTCTTTAGCTATGTTAATTTACAGAGATCTTAACGTGAAATACATGGAGACTTTCTAAAGTTTACGACTCCCTAAGACATAAAATCATAAAATGAAGTGTCATTACCACTGTGGCTTCTGCATTTCTGTCCACTTCAAGTATCTAGCCCCTCATTACATTGAGAGCTCCATGCATCTCAAACACTCTACATTTTTGCCCTCTAATACATTGGTTTATATGTCCCTGCTTAAATTCTTTTCCTGTTTTTGTCTCTTCTCTTATGAAAATGCTTAAACTCTATCTCCCAGTGTCAATTTTGCAGTGAAATAAACCCCGTGAGATATTTGAAATATTTTTCTCCTTCAAATCACCAAGACATATTATCCTCACCATTTTCATGCATGATGTTTGTCGTATGTAGTCATGTCATATACCTGTCTGCTTTCTCTTCTTCCGCTTCCCTATGCTCTCACTTCTGCCTACAAAATTATAATCTTTTTTAGCACAGTAATCGTCTTTATCATAAGATTAGAGGCTATAATATTTGTTTGATCATAAAAGAATCAACAAATATTTGCTGCATTAAATTAAATTGTAGAAAATATAAATAAACATAAAGTTCAACAGAAAGATAAGTTGCATGGATATTCAACCTAACTATTCTAGTAATTATTTTACTTCTTCAGCTTAGTAGTTTTCTATTATTCTTCATAGGTTAAATATTATGTATATCAAACACATTCCTCATAAATGTTCACTCTTTACCTTGAGCTTCACAGGCTCACAGCTGCATATGTCTATAAGGTCTCCTTTTGTAATCAGGTCCAGGCTATCCACGTGCGTAAGCAAAACCACATGCAGAATGCCTGTGTCAAAGGAACACATAGAATTTTATCCTTTCTGATATCAACAGCATTTCTAAATTAGTAAATTACAAGTTTTGCTGCAGGCAAGCCATTGGACAACTTTAGATTTAGGGATTTCTCTACCTCCAGTGCCCCCTCTGCCTATCACACACACACACACACACACACACACACACACACACACGCATGCATGCATGCACACAACACAACACACTGGAATTTCTTCTGCAGGGGATGTCCCCTTTGTTCCAAGCTAAGATCTTCACACGTGACCACTTAGAAGGACTAACTAAAATTCACACCATATTATTGCCAATTGATATTCAGTCCTAAATGTGTTGTCTTAATGGAGACTAGAGAAAATAACAGAGGAGATGGGGGAAGACACTCCACGAGAGAGAAATCACCATGACCTCATGAATAAGCTACTCCTACTTCATGGCTTTGATAAACAGGTCCCTGGACAAGATTTTAAAACCTTTTGATTTTGGTGAGCAAGTAAGTCAGTCATTCCTTGCTTCTCAGTCAAATGTGTGATGAGCTCTTTCCCACTCCAATAGACAAGAGCAGGAAAGGCAGAGTTGGGATCCAGAACCACCAGCTTGTGTTCACTCTCTGACTTTCTGCTGCCTCTGTTTACCTGGCATTTTATATGCTGCTCTTTTTCTTGCTAGAATTTTTCTTTCTATTTTCTAATCCTTTAAGGTCCAGAAGGAAAGATGCATGTACAAAGAAGTTTCTGTCCTGCCTGGTCCTGCAACCCTTTCGTCCCAAATAAACACACTGAGGCTTATAATAATCATAAAATGTTTGGTCAACAGCTCAGGCTTCTTGTTGGCTAGCTCTCTCTTAATTATTAACCCATTTCTTTTCCAAATTAATTTTTATTTAAATTGAAAACAAATGTCCAACCACACTTGGTTGAAAACTACGTGACAAAATATGAAGGTGATATGCGGTGTGGTTTGCTACTCTTCAGCTTGTGTAACGTTTACAAACAAAATAATCAGAGGGAGTCCCTATCATTTTAGCAATTTTAAGATGTTGAGGGAAAATGAGTTTTAAGTTGCATGTGCGTAGTCATACAGCTGTTGAGATCTCAACTGGTTGTAACCATGCTGATAAGCCAGAAAGACTCACATTTGTAATCACTGTAATCTCACTCACTCCCTCCCCCCCCAAGTTTCTGTTGTAAAGTCTAGTCAGCTACTTTCGTTAGCAAAGTGAAATGACACTCACCACTTTTTATCAGTGCCCTTCGAATTCTTTTTATCTTTGCCACCAGTCCATAAGAGAGATGTTCAATAGAACTGACATCAAACACAAACACCACACAATGAATTGTGTCCTTCAGCAGTGAGTCATGAATGTAGTTTGGATGATTTGGTGTGATTGGTTTCATGGAATTGAACTGTAAAGTAGATAAGAAGGCAGAAGTCAGAGCATTCAAAAGGGAAGTTGGAATCATTAAGACTGAGGGTGCTGGCTCATAAACTATATTCCAGTCCTATGCATTTGAAGAAAATGCACAGATCTCTGATATTTAGAGGCTAACCATAGATGGAGAAGGTGGCAATTGCATGAGTGTCTAGCGGCTCTTTTACACAGCCTGATAATGAGTCTGTGATGAAGGAATGCATACTCTTGGACTGTAATAAAAGAGAGCTCTTCTCAAGAAAATGAATAAGACTGTAACAGGAGGTGCTCTAGAGAAAAGAAACCATGTGGGTGAAGACATAGTTCAGAGCACTCAGAATAAAGTTGGAGTCATCACACAGTGAATGAAGAAGGACAATGCTTCATGATGGTGGGATGATTCCATATTCTTGAACTAACCATTTCTCTGCCAGTGTCTGTCTCACAGAGATAGTGGCACAAAGATAAAATGGGATCTGCACATTGTCTTGATTCTAGGCAACAAAAACGTGATATACCACAAAGCCATAGGATACTACCACTGCTCTAAAAATGAAGAAAACACAAATATGTAAGTATTTTCTTTGATACTGCAAAAAGGAAACAAGTCATAAATTACTATGATTTCTTATAGGAAAATCAAAGAGATTTGTGTTAATAAACAGAGAAAGAAGATCAATTCTTTAAATATTTTATTCTAGAAATTTAACTTTAGATATATAGATAGTAAGTTATAAAATGAAACAAAATCAAATGTTAAAACATATTCATAAATCAAATTAAACATTGTATTTAGTTAGGATAACTAGAGTCAAACTATTTCTGACTGACTGTAAAACAGTACAACTTGTATGCCCCATAATGATACCTGGTTGCATGCTCAACATACTGTAAGAATCTGCGTACTGGAGATCCCATCCCTGTGGTCCAGCCTACCCAGATACTGCCAGAATCCTAAACCCATTCTCTTCCCAAGGGACAAGGTAAGCATAGGCTTGCCTTCTAGTGCTCTGCCCAGAGCTGCCTGAGGCCTGGAGATAGTGCACTGGGGAACCCATCCCAGAAGTTCAGCCCACACAGAGTCTGCCAAGGCCACAGTACTAGTCCCACCTCCATCCACAGGAAGAGGAGAGCCATCAGACTATTGGACCTGCTTGTACCCACCAGAAGGGAATCTTGGGTCTACACCCAACAGGAGAAGAAGAGCCTCATCCTGCACCCTCTGGGAGAAGGGATGGGAAGAAGGCTTTATGAAAACACATTCAACAACAGAAAAACCAATATGACACCACCAAAATCTAGGGACTGTATACCAGCAGGACCTGAACATCCCAATGCAGATGAAACACAGGAGAATGACCTTAAAAACAACTTCATGAAAATGATAGAGGCCCTCAGAGAGGATATGGGAAAAATCTCTTAAGGAAGTGAAAGAAGAAGCAAACCCAAAAAATATAAGCAATCAACAAATCTCTTAAACAAAGCAAGGAAAGCCACAAAAAAAAACCCAATCAGATAAAGGAAACAATTCAAACAGTTCAAGACATGAAAATTGAAATAGAGACAATAGAGGAAACACAAACTGAGGGAATTCTGGAAATAGAAAAGTTGGATGAATGATCTGGAACTACAGATGCAAACATAACCAACAGAACACAAGAGATGGAAGAGATAATCTCAGGCATTAAAGATACACAAGGAGAAATAAATTCATTGGCCAAACAAAATCTTAAGTAGAACAAATCCCTAATATAAAATATCCAAGAAATATGGGATACCATCAAAAGACCAAACTTGAGAATAATAGGTATAGTAGAAGGTGAAGAAAACCAACTCAAAGGTGCAGAAAACATATTCAACAATATCATAGAAGAAAACTTTCCCAACTTAAAGAAAGATATGCCAATGAAAGTAAAAGAAGCCGACAGAACAACAAATAGTGCCCTTGCCACATAATAATCAAAACCCCAAACATACAGAATAAAGAAAGAATATTAAGAGCAGCTAAGGAAAAAGACCATGCAACATATAAAACAAACCTATCAAAATTATACCTAACTTCTCCATGGAAACCCTGAAAGCCAGAAAGCCCTGGATAGATATTCTACCAACAATAAGAGACCATGGATGCCAGCTCAGACTACTATACCCAGCAAAGCTTTCAATCACTATAAATGGATAAAACAAGATATTCCATAACAAAACCAGATTTAAACAATACATATTTATTAATCCATCCCTACAGAAAGTTCTAGAGGGAAAACTCCAACCCAAGGAAAGTAACTACAACCAGAAAAATATTGGCAATAGATAATCCCACTTTGCAACAGTCAAAAAGGGGGGGGTGGAAATCGACACACAATTCCACCACCAGCACCAAACCCAAAACAAACAACAATGAACAACCAATGGTCATTAATATCCTTCAACATTAATGGTCTTAACTCACCTACAAAAAGACACAGGCTAACAAAATGTATATGAAGACAGAATCCATCCTTCTGCTGCATACAAGAAACACAGCTTCAAAAACAAACATTACCTCAGAGTTAAGGGTTGGGAAAAGATTTTCCAATCAAATGGACTCAAGAAACAAGTGGATGTAGCTATCCTAATATCTATCAAAATAGACTTTAAACTGAAATCAATCAAAAGAAAAGAAGGAGATCATTTCATATTCATCACAGGAGACATCAATTAAGATGAAGTCTCAATTCTGAACATCTATTCCCCAAGTACAAGGGCATCAACATTCATAAGAGAAACATTACTAAAATTCATATCACACATAAAACCTCACACACCTATAGTGGTAGACTTCAACACCACCAAACAGAAACTTAACAAAAAAAAAAACAAAGGAACTAACAGAAGACATGGCCCAATTGGGTTTAACTGACATCTATAGAACATTACATCTAAACACAAAAGAATATACCTTCTTCCCAGTGCCACATGGAATTTTCTCTAAAATCGATCACATACTTGGCAATAAAGCAAACCTCAACAGATAAAAAAAAACATTGGAATAACCCCCTGTATCTTATAAGACCACCATGTTTTTTTTATTCTTTTTTTTTATTCTTTTTTTTTAAAATTTAGATAAGAAACAAGGTTGCCTCACAAGTCAGTTCCAGGTCCCTCTCCCTTTCCCTCCCCTCCTCCCGTGCCCTCCCCCATCCCCCCCCGTTATCCCCTCGTTCCCCCAGGGAGGGTGAGGCCCTCCATGGGGGTGTCCATAGTCTGTCATTTCATATAGGGCAGGGCCTAGACCCTTCCCCAAGAGTTCAGGGTGAGAGTGCACCTCACATTGTTCTATGGGAGTCCAAAGTCCGTGTGTATACTTGGGATGGGTACTGATCTGCTGCCCAAGGCTCAATAGATTACCTAGGCCTCCTCACTGACACCCAGATTCAGGGGGTCTTGATCAGTCCCATGCTGGAAGACCACCATGTTTTAAAGTTAGAATTCAAGAACAACACAAATTGCAAAAAAAACCTACAAACTCATGGAAATTGAATAATGTGCAATTGCACCATTTCTGGTTCAAGGAAGAAATATAAAAAAAGAAATTAAAGACTTCCTAGAATTCAATGAGAATGAAGACACAACATACCCAAACTTATGGGACACTTTGAAAGCAGTGATAAGAGGAAAGTACCCACATGAAGAAACTGGAGAACAGTCATACTAGAGAATTAACAGCACAGCTGAAAGCTCTAGAACAAAAAGAAGCAAACTCACCCTGGAGGAGTAGACACCAGGAAATAATCAAATTGAGGGCTGAAATCAATAAAGTAGAAACTAGGAAACCAATGCAAAGAATAAATGTAACAAAGAGTTGATTCTTTGAGAAAATCAACAAAATACACAAACCTTTATCCAAACTTACCAGTAGAAGTCATCAAAAGCCTCCCAACCAAAAAACCCCAGGAACAGATGACTTCAATGCAGAATTCTACCAGAAATTTAAAGAAGAGATAATACTAAAAATCCTCAAATTGTTCCACACAATAGAAGCAAAAGGTACATTGCCAAACTCTTTTCATGAGGCTTCAATAACCTTGGTACCCAAGTCACAAAAAGACACAACTCAGAAAGACAACTTCAGACCAATATCCCTAATGAACATTAATGCAAAAAATACCCAATAAAATACTGTCAAATCAAATCCAAGAACACATCAGAAAAATCATCAACCATGATCAAGTAGGTTCATCCCAGGGGTGCAGGGATGGTTCAACATATGAAAATCCATGAATGTAATCTTCCATATAAACAAATTGAGAAAGAAAAATCACATGGTCATCTCACTAGATGCTGAAAAAGCCTTTGACAAAATCCAGCACCTCTTCATGATAAAGGTCTCAGAGATATCAGGAATAACAGGAACATACCTAAACATAACAAAAGCTATATAAAGAAAACCAACAGTCAACATCAAACTAATTGGAAAGAAACACAATGTAATTCCTCTAAAATCAAGACAAGGCTGGCCACTGTCTCCATATCTCTTCAATATTGTACTTGAAGTTCTAGCTAGAGCAATAAGACAACAAAAGGAGATGAAGGGATACAAATTGGAAAAGAAAAAGGCAAACTTTCACTATTTGCAGATGATAAGATGGTTTGCATAAACGACCTGAAAAACTAGACCAGGGAACTCTTACACCTGATAAATACCTTCAGTAAAGTGGAAGGATACAAGATTAACTGAAAAAAATCAGTAGCCCTACTATATACTGAAGATTAATGGGCTGAGAAAGAAATTGGAGAAAGATAGCCCTTTACAATTGTCACAGTGCCCCTCAACTGAAGAATGGATAGAGAAAATGTGGTACATTTGCACAATGGAGTACTACTCAGCAGGAAAAAAATGGAATCTTGAAATTTGCAGGCAAATGGATGGAACTAGAACAAACCATCCTTAATGAGGTAACCTAGTCACAAAAAGACAAACATGATGTGTACTCAGTCATATATGGATTTTAGACATAGAGAAAAGGAGTACCAGCCTACAATCAATACCGCCAGAGAAGATAGGAAACAAGGAGGACCTTAAAAGGGACATACATGGTCCTCTGGAGATGGGGAAAGGGACAAGATCTCCTGAGCTAATTGCGAGCATGGGGGAGGGGAGAGGAGTTAGGAGAAAGAGAAGGGAAGAAGAGGAGGGGATAGGAAGACATAAGGGAGTAGGAAGACTGAGTCAGGAGAAGAATAGAGGAGAGCAAGAAAAGAGATACCATAATAGAGGGAGCCATTATAGGTTTAAAGAGAAATCTGTCACTAGGGAAATGTCCAGAGACCTACAAGGTTGACCCCCAACTAACAATCTAAGCAATAGTAGAGAGGCTACCTTAAAGCCCTTCTCAGATTGATGACTACTTTTTATGCCATCCTAGAGCCTTCATCCAGTAGCTGATGGAAGCAGAAGCAAACACCCACAGCTAAGCACTGAGCTGAACTCCTTGAATCTAGTTGCAGAGAGGGTGGAGATATGAGCAAAGTGGTAAAACCAGACTGGAGCAACCCACAGAAACATCTGACTTGAACAAGGGGGCGCTCATGGACTCCAGACTGATAGCTGGGAAACCAGAATAGGACTGTTTCAGACCCCCTGAACGAGGATGTCAGTTTGGAGGTCTGGTTAATGTATGGGGTCTCTGTTAGTGGATCAATATTTATCCCTAGTTCACTAATGGACTTTGGGAGCTCTTTCCACATAGAGGGATGCTCTCTCAGCCTAGACACATGGGGGAGGGTCTAGGCTCTGCTCCAAATGATGTGACAGACTTTGATGATCTCCCATAAAAGGCCTCATCCTCCCTGGGGAGAAGAAAGAGAATGGGATTGGGTTGGTGGGGAGCAGGAGAGAAGGGGAGAAAGAGAGAACTGGGATTGACATGTGAAACAAGCTTGTCTCTAATTTAAATTTTAAAAAAGAAAAAAAACCAAAATACCTGGAAAAGCAAATAATCTGCTAGAAGTGATCTATGTTATCCAGTTTTGATTCTCATTTTACTAAATATTAGATATGACTAGATAACTTACATTAATAATGGAATCTGTTCTGAAGCTACCACGTGGCATGAAAAAATTAGCTGTGATACAATATTCTGTGCACTCTACTGTCCTCAAGAACAAGAACTCTCAATTGATGAGAAAGTCAACAAAAACATAATTAGAAAAGATTAAATAAAAATTCTCTAGTCTTTAATTTGAATAAATATATATGAATTTATAAGTTATCTTACCAGAAAAATATGTGCCAGAAAAAAAACACCCAACAAAGTAGCAACAACTTTTCTAACGCTGCAAGCCAGGGCTTTGTGAAGAAGCAACTGATTTCCAATTGTATGACAAGAAACACAGAAGCCCTGGCAGGGTATCCAGTTCCCCCACAGAGCAAAAAACACAGAAAAGACTTGTGTTTCTGCCGAAGGACCTGTAGTTTAACTTGTTCAGGTCACTACTGGTCCCAGTATTTGGAAATGGAAAAAAATACAGTGTATCAAAATGCATCACATATATTCAGTTTACATTGAGTTCACAATGATAGTAAAATAGTAACTTATTATTAATGACAAATACTCAGAAGACAGCCAAGAGCCCATTTCTTATATTTTCAAGTCAGCTTTAAATTTTCTATCAGTGTACTACAGCAATGCTATTTTAATAAAATAAAAACCAGCCAGCCCTAGAAATGATGTTTTTCTAATTGTAGATATAAATAAAGAGAAGAGCATAAATGTGAAATCTCAGACAAGGGACGTCTTCATGTTAATCTAACATTGCTCATTGGCAGAAACAGATCACTTTTTAAAAGTGATATTATTATTATTTACATCCGGACTGCAGTTCCCTCTCCCTCCTCTCCTCCCTGTCTCCCCACCCTCACCTCTTATCCATTCTTTCTTTGCTTCTTTCAGAAAAGGTCAGGCCTTCCATGGATAATCAACCAAACATGCTATACTGGACTTGCAGTAAAATCTAGGTACCTCCCCTAGTATTAAGGCTGGACAAGACAATCAAGGTGCCAGAAAGGTTTATGTCTATTGGGTTTCCCCAGACATCTATTTTTAATCAGTACCATCAAGTGGCAAAAAGGGATCCACTGCCGCGTGGTTTCGGAGGACAATAATTCTACGACTTAAGGGCTCCACCCTCAAAGCATAACTACTTCCCAAAGCTTCCACCTACCAAAGCCGTCACACAGACGTCTGGGACTCCAGCATATGAAACCATGAGGGAAACAAATGTTCAGTCCTGTAATGCCTGTACTGGCTGGTTTTGTGTCAACTTGACACAAGCTAGAGTCATCAGACAGGAGGGAGGCCCAACTGAGAAAAGGCCACCCTAGGATCCAGCTGTAGCACATTTTCATAATTTATGATTATGGGGCAGGGCCAGGCCATTGTGGGTGGTGCCATCCCTGAACAACTGGTCCTGGGGTTTATAAGAAAGCAGGCCGAGCAAGCCATGTTGAGCAAGCCAGGAAACAGCGCTCTTTCATGGCCTCTGCATCAGCTCCCGTCTCCGAAATCCTGCCTGTTTGAGCTCCTATCCTGACTTCCTTTAAGAAGGAACCGTGATGTGGAAGCATAAACTAAATAAACCCTTTCCTCCCCGGCTTACTTCTGGTCATGGTGTCTCACCACAGCGGTGCTAACCCTGACTATGACAGCAGCCATGCTAAGATCCTCAAAAATAGAAAGTGAGTAGCCCCAGGAAAGCTCTTTCATTCCCAAGCTTCTGCCTTCCGATACTCTGCTAGCAAAAGGTGGGTATTTATATACTTCATACAGATGGGTGTCTGTTTCCCAGAAAGCAGTCCAGACAGTTGATGGCTGTTGTTACGGTTGGAAGTAACAGAAAAATACTCTCTCTCTCTCTCTCTCTCTCTCTCTCTCTCTCTCTCTCTCTATATATATATATATATATATATATATATATATATATAATTCTTTGTGAAATGTCTATCACAAAGGAACAAAGGCATTTGAACAAGCGCCCTTTAACATGCTGAAGCAATGGTCTTAGGACAGTGTACGAAGCGGATGGTGGGCAAATCAATCCGTGAATTTTAAGCATCGGTAAACGCTTACCTGGTATCTGTCAGGAGTGTGGCCTTTTAAGATGGAGTCGATGTCGTCTACATGCAAACCGGCTTTCTGATTCAGGCCCATTGAATCACACAGAACAAACGGCAGGGGATGACCATCATCCCTGTATGTGATGGGATACGTCCTATACTGAGAAGTTAAGAACAACAACTTGAAAATGACATTTCTTTTTTAATATAAATTCACATAATATATTTAAAATTTACATAATATATTTAAATTTAATGTAAACATAAATAAACTGACTGTCAACATGGTTTCCAATACAATCAACTTGAACCAAAGAAGCCTGGGTAGCCTAAAATACATTTACCTTGTCAGAGACTCCATCTATGTCACAGCCCACCAAGGCCTGGTGTGTGATGCTGCCTCTGAAAACGGACTTGACTGAGTTGACAAAACTAGACTTTCCAGCTCCTGTGGGACCCAGCAGCAGAATCCGTGCTTGGGGAACCAGGTCTCCATACGGCGTATATGTTCTCAGTGCTTGCAATAAATTATTCTGTATCCTATTGAAACTCAGACACATTTTAAGAATTAGCTGGTCAGCTCACGCAACCTCACTGTAGTCTCCTAAGAATTCACTTTTCTTCCTCATTTTATTTATAATTAGCAGCCTGCCTTCTTCCCTGTACACACGAGACTGCTGCATAGGGTGGTTTGATTGAGAATGTCCCTTGTAAGCTTATGTTTCAGAACACTGTCTTATAGGATCCTGAGAAGTTGGAGCCTTGCTGGAGGAAGTACATTGATGAACGAAAGCTTTAAGGGCTTATAACCTCACCTACTTCCTGTTCTTTCTCCCTGTGTTTCCTGTATGTGGATGAAACTGTTGTCAACCAGCTTCCTGGTCCTGGTACCACATTATTTTGTGACTGCTGCCATGCCTTCCTTCCCGTGGTGGTCTCTATCCCTCCAGAACTGGAAGCTGAAGTAAAACCTTTTCTTCCTTGAGTTGCTTTATAGTATTATGTAGTAACAACTGAAGCATAGCTAACACACTACCGTAACTTAGGTCATATTGTAAAAGAAATAAAAACAAAAACAATACTTGCAAATAAATGGTTCACTTATGTTACAATAACTTGCACATTCAGCAATAAATGTCAACCATGCCAAATGTGAAGATTAATAATGATGAACTTTAAAAGTAATTATATTATATATATTTGAAGTTTATAGAAGTAGATGGTTTCTAACATGTTCTCAAAACTCATTAGTAGATACTCTTAGCATATTCTAAAGAAAAAATTTACTATAGGAACTCTAGTCAGGTGGTGGTGGTACACGCCTTTAATCCCAGCACTTGAGAGGCAGAGGCAAGTGGATCTCTGTGAGATCCAGACAAGGCTGGTCTACAGAGTGAATTCTAGGACAGCCAGAGCTGCTCACAGAGAACCCCTGTCTTGAAAAGTCAAAAAAAATCTAAAACACAATGTAAACAAAATTATTTTCCCCTGAGTATATACCATTAAAATTAGCCCCTCCCACTCACTGTTCTTTTAATGGTACTACTATCAATTGTTTGATGACTATAGACATGGGCTTTGGTTACTCTTTGGTGGTCCATATATTAGCTGTAATAATTTGTGTTAACAATTTTGTTGACATACATTATCATAATATAAAGTAATAAAGATCTTTAAAAAAACATTGACTTACACAGCAATGTCTCTTGTCATTCTCTCATCCAATAACTCTAAGGAAAACAACAAATAATAGAGATCATAAATTCTTAAATGTATATCTGGTCAAATGAATGTGAGCAAATTCACTAGAGACAAATATGTAAGTAGTCTTTTCACAGGAAAAAGTAAGGGGAGAAAATTTACATTGCCTTCTTTTGGAAACGCAAGAGCTGGGGGGGAGTGTCTGCTGATGAGCTCCACCCTCTACTCGCTGGCAGTGTGGACATCTTTGCCTGATCAGGAACTGGATTGGGAGTGTCTTCTGAATTAAAGACGAGGAAAGTCTTATCTATGTGATCACAGTATTATGAGAATGTAACACAGTAAAACTCACAGAAAAAAAGTGACTACAGGTAAGTGGGGTGTGGGGTGTGGTTAGTACGATGCTTCAAGATTTCATTACCCAAAACAAAAGTATAAATCTGACGTTAAGTGGTCTCATTTCGTGATTGGGTTTTACCAATTGCTGGCCAGGTATCAGTGTGGCTCATCTCTCCAGAATGAAGAGGCCACGATCAAAGGTGTCCTTTGCACAGCAGTAAGTCATCTAGAAGCCACTAAACATGCAGGGGAGAACTCTACAGGCTCGTCTGAGCAAACATACCTTCGCATCGAAAAGTTTCACAGTCTTGAATAAACATGGGGGAATGTTGAGGAGGCAGTCCGAGCTTTTTGCAGATCTCTGAACTTATAGTCACCTTTTTCTCATTTAACACTATATGGAAACCAGGAATACAATCAGAAGTCTCTGCATCATAGAACAATAAAGCTGGCAAATGCGGTCCTATTAAGCATTCTGAAACTTCAGTCTCTCGAAGTGCAAAAAGAGTGATATAAGTCTCTCTTTTCTGGAAGCCCTCTCGCAGGTAGGCGCCAACAACACAGTTTTCGCCGTTCAGCACAACCATGGTGGGACCATGATTCCAACATTTCCCTAACAAATCCTGCTCACAGAACTTCTGCACGCTCGCCTTATAAAGAAGACAAAGCCGTTTTCCTCCAAAATAATTCTGCAGGCACTTTTCTTGCAACCACGTCAAACGAGTTCTCATGGCCATACTTCACAGTCTAGGGGGAAAGCCAACACAGTCCTCATTAAACACTGAAAACCAGACAGCTGCACACAGAGCTCTCATTTACTCTTGTTTCCTCACAGAACACAGGGCATTAGTGAACACCGGGCAAATACACAGCAAGATAATCACTACCTAAAATGTTCATTTAAATAACTGCTTTCAAAAATTTTAAACACTCTCATTGCCATACATACCTATATGAAGAGTCTGCACAAAGGCTAGCGCCCAGGACAGCTTCTGCCTCAGAAAACAACCCTGCAGTAAATGGAAACCTTTCCACAGCTTGCAGCTTCCTGCTTAGGAAATGAAACTGAAATTCGACCTGCCCAGTGATACTGGCAGGGGACCAACTTCAGTTGTGATGGGGCTACCTCTCCCCACCATACTATGTTTTACAGACTATTTGGGGGGTTTCACATAATGTACCCTAACCATATTCACGTCTCGGTCTTCCCACGCCCATCCCCCACTCCCACCTGTTCCTTCCCCAAAAGAAATGGAAAGAAAAAAAAAGAATACCAAGTCCAGTTTGTGTTGGCCACATATACTCACTGGAGCGTGGACAAATTCCCAGTGGCCAGTCCCGCAAAGAAAACCCATTCCTTCCCCAACCCCACCCCTGCCAGATGCTATCAACCTTGAAGAGCTGTACTATCACAATGTTTCAGAGTTCTCCTCAGTGGTTTCCTGTCTGGACTGTATTGGGGGCGGGGCAGGTTATCAGAGCAGCCTCTGTGTCTCTCATCCCCACCCGTGAGTCTGTGGTCGTCAATGCCGATGCAAAGGGTATCAGGAAAATTTAGGAAGCACAGCCCCACGTGGCGCTGAGGTTTGTTTTCAAAGGTGAATGGTTACACGTGGGCATACACAGCAAAATTGCTACCTACTGTGCCTCCAAAGCACATCTCAGTCACCCACTTCTCTTATTGCACGCTATCATTTTATTCCAAGCCAGTGCACATGCCTCCATGGGCCGTTCCAGCAGCCTCCTGTCTAAATAAACAGTGAGATGAGCGAGCATAGGCACCCTCGCCCAACAGCTGGCCACAGGAAAATGTCGCAGTGCTCCCATCAGATCCCGAGGGAAACAAAGGCGGTCAGCACTGTGGGACACTGTGGGAAGTATGCTAAGAAGAGTACAGGGAGGAACGGGGGAGTACCTTACAGCAGGTATGAGAAACGATGGTCTTGTCTTCACCTTATAATAAGACGGCCAGAGACGCAGAGTCGCAGAAGCAAAGCGGTTCATTTTCTGACCTCCCCAAGTCAGGAGTTGTAGAGAGCTGGAGTGCCATACCCTTAAGATGGTGCTGGCTTCTGTCTTCTGCTAGCCCGACAGCAGGTGCTCTCTGTGATAAAACAACACCTGTATTTGGTTAAGGCTGGATATCAGGCTTGCTTCCACGTACGTGGACCTATCTGCATGTTCCACGTGGCATACTGGGGTTGGCTGCCCAAGGGCTTTTAAGCTGTGGGTTGGGGCTCCCTGGTGTTCCCTGGGAGAAGAAGATTGTTTAAGGTTCCTGAATAAACTGCTTAAAGAAGAGTCTGGGCGTTGCATCTTCCTTGCTGGCTGAGGTGGGTGCGACAAGGAGTCAGCTTAGAGAAGCGTCAAAGGTAGAATTCGGTGCAGAACACTGGGTTGTCTTTCTTGCCCTCTTCTTATCTTTTTCTTCTTCTGCTCTCAGGTACATTTCCCCATGCCCTGAATGTCTCTTTGGCAGAGTTCTTTTGGGAAGAAGGGTTTCCCCGCTAATCTAACACAGTCCCCACCCTCCATCCCAGTGAGGCTCAAGATCCTCCCCACCTGCCCTGATAGGTCAGCTCGGTTACATAGTTCAACCCCAAGGTAAACTGAAAAGTACCCAGGTAAGCAGTCGCCAGAGACCGGCCAGGGCAGGCAGGGATCTAGTGCCTCCTGATAAGCTACAATTCCTTGGGGAGCTTAGTGAACCTCACACTGACAATGGACTGCAATGATTTACTTCTTATACAGGTCAGAGGAGAAGGGGGCGGATGGAACAGCTGGAGGGTCTATAGTGGCAAAATCAGTGAAAAGTGCACAGATCCAAGATGTCTTCCAAGCATAAGAGAAGACTGAGAAAATTTGCTGGTGGGATAGAAGTGGGCTAGCTGGGGTAGGAGTGGGGGTAGAGAAAAAGATGGCTCTTACTTGGGCGTGGGATGAGTGGCGAGGCTATTTATCACTGATATGAGAATATTGGGAAGACATCAGTGGTTGGTGTGTGAGGTCAAAGACTGTGGAAGGATGGTAACCTGAGCATCGTCAGCACACACGTAGAGAAGCATGACGTGAAGAGAATTTATCAGGAGGTGCAGCTCTATGCCAAGCCTCGTGCCTTCCTCCCTCCTTTAGAAGTTATAAATATTCGAAAGATTTATCCGAAAGAACCGGGACTAAGAAAACTTGTGGGAAGCAGCAAGAAGAGTGAGTTGTTCCCGGAGCCAAGGAAGGAAGAAGGAAAAAGTGGTTACCCGCTTCAAATACTGCTCTGTCTTTCAGAGTCTCCTCCACTGAGCACGTGGAGAAGAAAGCTCTCTCTGTGGACAGCCTGTGTGGCCGTGAGAAGACAGCATTGGGGTTATAGTTTTGTCTCTTTATAGGGGAGAAGCTGAAAAGTGTTGGATGCTGAAGCAGGAATGAAATTAAAGACATGATGTCTCCATGAGGTTGAACTGAAGTACAAACTATAAGTTCTGCTGACAGCGAGCAATCCAGCAATGGCCTCCTGCATCAGCTATGATGAATTGCTCAGAGGGATCGATCGGAGATGTTCTCATACTCTGTAGAGAGAGCCTTGTGCCGAGTCACTCAACCTTCTGAAAGTGTGTGCTCTTGGTTTCCTCAGCATCCCTCGGAGGATGCTAGCAACAAGGAAAGCTTTTAAGTTGACCCCAACAGAGATGGGATGATCCCTGGAAAGCTGTGTCAGAGACACAGAGCAACAACAGCAGAAAACATTATGTTATAATACGAGAATTTTGGCAATTGGAAAGTGCCAGATGCAATCTCTGAACACCTGTGGTCAGGGTCTACTGACCCCTGACCTAAAGGGACACATGATTGTATTATTAGTTCAGTGTCAGAAATCTCCAACAGACTGATGCATCTGAACACTTGGCACCAGGTGACAGTACTATTCTGGGAGCTTGCTAAACCTTTAGCATTTGGGGCCTACCTAAAGAAAGTTTCTCACTGGGTCTGGGGCACACAGAAGTGACCATTTGTGGTCCATATCAACCCTGATACCTACCTGATCTTTTTGCTTTCTAATCCACCAAAACATGAGGAGTTCCAGCCACAGTCTCCCACAGAGCTCTGGTATACTTTCTCCACCAAGATGAACTATACCCTCTAAAACTGTAAGTCAAAAATCCTTCCTCTCTTACATGCTACTATCAGGTATCTGGTCACAGCAATGAGGAAACTAACTAATTCATTAACTGCATTTTTGACGACCCCTTCTAAAACTCAAGTTTACACACAGGAATTCAACCTGAGAATAATAATTATCTGTGTGTCCAATAATATGCCCAGAAAACCTGGGTTTCAAAAAAATGTCAGTCAAGCTGAAGCAAATGAGATTTCTCATCTCACTAAAAGAATAGTGCTATGAGGAGAAATAGAAGATATTTGAGTTTATTGGAGGTTTCCTTGTTTCCAGTGAACAATAACCCAGGGGGCTGGAGTCTTGGACACTCATATGAGTAACACTATGCAAACTGAATAAGTTATTTCTAGAACTCTGTGCATGTGTGTGTGTGTGTCTGCATACAACAGCAATTAATGAAACATAAGGCCATACATTTGAAAAAGAGCAAGAAGGGGTAAATGGGAGGGCTTAGAGTGAGAGTTGTATTCCCTATTAGTCAAGTTGGCACACACCTCAAATCCTAACCTTCAGAAGGATAATGAGTTCAAGGACAGTCTGGGATAAAAAGAAAGAAAACTAAAGAAGAAACTGACATCATATTTTCCCCTTGAATCTGGGAAAACAAAATTGTCCCATATGAGTTTAGATTATTGATAAATCCCATCTTGTTGTGGACTATGTAAAGATGTGTTACATTTTTTTTCATGCTGAAGTTGTTTAACAATGTAAAGATGTGTTGCATCTGTTTCACCTTGCCTGCTTTAGGCACCTGATTGGTCTAATAAAGAGTTGAAGGGCCAATGGATAGGCAGAGAGAGGATAGGCAGGGCTGGCAGGTAGAGAGAATAAGGAGGAGAAATCCAGGCTTAAGAAGAACAAAAAGAAGGTGAGAAGGAGAAGAGAAATGAGGATAAAGGGGGGGACACACCCAGGAACAGAGGCCAAGCAGCTGACAGACAGACAGATACTGAGAGAGCAGGAACATAAAATGTGCAGAAAGAAAGGTAAGAAGCCCCGAGGCAAAGCATAGATGAAAAGAAACAGATTAAAATAAGAGCTAAAATAAGGCTGAGCATTCATAGCTAATAAGAAGTCTCCGCGTCATAATTTGGGAGCCTGGTGCACCACCTGGGTTTGAACTTCCCAACTTATATCTGTACTGATTCCCTTAGTGTGAAGCACTCACCCCATATGTCAGTAATCTATTGAATCTGCACACAGAGCGAGATGAATTTCAAACTATTAGCCTCATCTAACTTTCAAGAAAGGAGTATGTCTTCCAGTTGCACAATCTATAGATCACAGACAGGATATTACTAAGATCTTTGATCAGCAGAGATCTCAGCTTCAGACTGAGATGATCCTAAATGATCAAGGCTTATCCACTCATCTCTGGAACATGTGGACCCAGCATGGTACCCAAAACAAGCATTTTACTCCCATAGGGTATGCATATTCCTGTGGACAGTCCCTCCTCCATGTCTAACTCCCTCGGCCATTACTCACAGTCGCCTTCTTTCTACGTTCTAGATCTCCTTTATAAGGCTACTGTATGCTAACTCTTTATACAAATTGAAAGCGTATCATCTTCTGCCCAGACAGTCACTTCATAGCAGAGATAGCAAGGCTATAGCCATATAGTCAGAAAGGACAATGGTGAATCCCCAGTCTATTTCATGCCTCATTTTTCTCTATACTGTACAGATAAAGGCCCGCCTGTATCTGCATGTCCTACATCCAGTCACAGCTGGTTACTATGCAAACTTTGTTCTCCGTATCTTCTCTGTCTCTCCTCATCAGTTTCTATTCCATCGATGGCTATTCAGATTCTAGATATTTCTTAAAACTATCCTCAAGAGTATTCATAAAAGTGTAGCTTCCCTTGAAACACTACTCTAGAGAAACCTGCTTCCTCATACCTACCCTGAAGGAACTCTTGTCCTCTTAGTATCGAGAAATAGCCAGAAGAAAAGAATAGCCTGGCTGATGATAAGATAGACTGTCAGAATGCAGGAATCTGTTGAACCGGAACGTATTTTTATAAAGAAAATATGCACACTGCTTGTGGAAAGGACCCTTTCAGTTCCCAGCACACACATCAGATGGCTCGTGACCCCCTTGTGCAGTTCCAAGGGCATCTGACACCTGTCCTCCATGTTCACCTGCTCTCATGTGCGTCTGTGTACACACAGACGTGCACATATGCACATAGTTAAAAAGAATGAAAGAAGTATGCCCCCAAATCAAAAAATGCTGAAATGAAAAATCTGAAGAATTACTAAAACTTACAGAATGAGTTGAAAGGAAAATTATAATTTTTATTTTCCTTGAACAATAGTCCTAATTTTGACAGCTGCCTGGAGGACTTCGTAACCATTCGAAGGATTTACATGACAACATTCCAAGCTGACTAGCATGATCTCATCTCTCAATAGTTCCCCTTTGGAGACACAGCCATGATGCTTTGGAATTCAGTCAATTAAAATCAAGCATAGGAATATTACTGGAAGAAACTTCATTTCATGAAATTAAAACATTGGTGTAATTATCAAAGCTGTCAGCAAACATAGGCTCTTTTTAATCAATTTACACTTGTTTAGAGGCATTCGTGTTTTGAAACAGAGATAAGCAAGACCCCCCTCTGTCCTTATTTTCGCATCCTCTTTCCAGCATCTTACTCTTCATGTCTTTTCATCCATAGCGAGTAAATGTCTAAGTAATGGTCATCAGTCCAGAGAAAATGGTACTGAAGAGTCATTGTGAGTTTTCCTGCCGTCTACCAGACCTTGTGTTGAGCTCTGTGACTACAAAGGCAAATCCAAAGCCTACTTTCTCAAAGAACTTACACTCTCTCTAGAACAGCAGATATTATGTAATTTTGTGATCATTGTGTGATTGACTAGGACACGTAGAACTGCAGAATGTGCTAGAGAAGTAAAGACAACGGCATCAAGATGACAAACTGTAGCGAGTGCAGGCATGCAGATGATAAACTGTAGCGAGCGCAGGCATCCGGATGATAAACTGTAGCGAGCGCAGGTATCCGGAAGCATGTCTGTGTTGGGAGCATCTCCTTCTTCGCTGCTTTTCAGAATTCGTCATCATTTCTTGAGGCATGACTAGCTGTTGAAGGAGCCATTAGCTGATCCTGTCCAAAAAAAAAAAAAAAAAAAAAAAAAACAGAACAGAACAGAACAGTACCATTAACAAAGCAGAGTCTCAAAGAGGCTATCAATAGCAGACAAACTCTCTTTAGGGCAATTCAGGTTTGGGCTACAAAGGGTAGCTAATGTCCCAGAAGACTGTGCCATTCCTCACATGCCTCCAAAACAAGACAAACAAAGGCGGGAATGAACACACATTACAGTACAGGTCAGGGCTGGGAAAGGGGGTCCCAACCACCCCATTGAAGGACGGCTGGTGGTTTTCTGAGAGACACAATGCTTTAGCGAGGAGCCAGGTTACCAGTTAGTTCTCAAAAGGAAGGTCCTCTAAGGAGTCATCTGCAGCCCGCAACATCTGCCCAAGTGCAGCGAAGATCAGAGCATCCTTTATGGGGTCCATCGATCGCTCTTGAGAGTAATTACTGACCATCAGGATATTAGCTATAGGAATATTGAGCATGTTTTGGACTTTCTTTATCTGTGGAGAATATATTAAAATGCATTTTATGTAAAAATGCATATGTGAAACACATATCTGTATGTATATATGAAGTAGATCATGCTAGAAATTTGACTTAATATTAAATACAATTAAGGACAGAAACTGAAAAGGTAATGGCCTGCCAAATCCTCTTTAGAAAACAATTGTATTTACGTAAATTATGGATAATTATAGTTGTAAAATGAAATATGAACTGCAACAAACCGAGTAATCAATCCACTTATTTGTATAAGTGAGGACTGAACTCAAGGCCCCACATTTTCTCGGTAGGTACTCTCGCATTGAGCTATATCTACAGCCCCTTTTTACTTTTTAGTTTGAGACAAGGTCTTGAATTCACTCTGCAGCCCAAACAGGCCTTAAACTAGAAATCTTCTAATGTCCTGAGTGTCTGTCATTACAGGCCTGCAGAAACGAACCCACCTTGATCATAATTCTCAATTCACCTATGAATAGACACACACATGCACGTGCATATATACACACAGCAGAGACAGGGTGGGGGGAAGAGAGAGAGAGAGAGAGAGAGAGAGAGAGAGAGAGAGAGAGAGAGAGAGAGAGAGAGAGAGAGGAGCAAGTGAGCATGAGGCTGTGATTCTGTCCCTATATCGCCTGATTCTAAACATCACCCTTTACCTGGCTTTGAGAAGTCACGCTTTCTGACATGTTTACAAAACCGTCATCAAGAACTTCATCACAGTTATCCACGTTAGTAAGCAAGGCTACTTGTCCCACACCTGCATCAAGTAGACATCGTTATTATAGGAACATGTCAAGATAGTTTTTAAATGCATGTATGTATGTATGTATGTAGTATGTATGTATGTATGTATGAACACGGCTTCCTGTAAGACGACTTAGAGAGTTGGATGTGAAATGTCCCTAGTAAATCTGAGCCTGATTTTCTTCCAAAGGTTATTTCCTTCCAAAAGACATACCTAAATTCATACTAAGTCTAAAAACTTGGTATGGTTTTAAAGTGGGAAACGTGGCTACTGCACCATTGAACCAAAGAGAAAACCCAGAAAGGAGACAAAGTGAGGAAGAGTGTATGTCAGCCAGCTACACTGACCTCACAGTTCAGCTGACATATTTCTGCCTTCTCCTCAAGCATGCAGATCTGCTATCTTAAAGATTCACACTCTACCCTCTTCCTCCCCCCTCTCTCTTGGAGATTATAATTTTATTGCAACATTCTCCACTCCCTTTCCTCACTGGAAACCTTTCCATGCACCCCTGCCTGCTCTCCTTCAAATTCATAGCTTCATTTTTATTTCTTACTGCTACTGCATGCATATATGTATATGCATATATGTTCCTAAATATCAACTGTTCAGTCCATATATTTCTAACTGTATGTGTGTTTTCAGCTGTGACCCTTTGGGAATGGACTACAAATTGGTGTTATATCCCTGAAAAGGGCTCTTCTTAGAGTCAGTTTCATTAAACATCACTTCATACCGTGGTGGTGAAATGCCATACATCCTTAAAAACTAACCTCAAATGTTATCACATCTCTAACTCAGTCATATCCCAAACCCACCAGTGTTTTAGAGACATTTCCATATACAGTTGCATTAAGTGTATACAATGTCCATTAGATATGGAAAAAAAGTAACTAGGCAGTATATGGTGAAAGACCTAGTAGTCATGCCGTAAGAGTTCCTGGAGGAGAGAGAGATGGCAGAACCAAAATTAATGACAGTGAAAAACAAAACAGAAAATATAGATACTGTCATGGAGAAACTATTTGCAAACCATGTGTCTGGCAGTGACTCAGATTTAAGGATATGGTTATTTTAATGAAAATGACCCAGGTAGGCCCGTAGATTTGAATGCTCAAAGTCCCTAAGGAGTGCCACTGTTTGGAAGGATTAAGAGGTGTGGTCTTCTTGAAGGACAGATGTCTCTAGGTTTCAAGAGTCCAAGCCCAGCCCAGAATCTCTCTCTTCCTGCTTTATTCATCAACCAATAAGACAAACATAAATACAGAAGAATATTCCTCGTCAAGTTCCTGTGAGAAGGTGAGTCCCTCTAAAACCCACTAGAGGTTTATACAGCAGAAGACTACAGACAGCCTAGTCCTTCTGTTCTGGAAGCTAGCAGATAAGACACCTCTAAGTCAAGTCTTTCAGTGGTCCTTTCTGCACTTGCCATGAACATGGAGCTATGACACTTATCAAAGGGGACAAAACCTGAGACTCCCCACTACTCCCTTTGTAGCTTTCTATGAAAATGTAGTTATTTCAAGGTTTATACAATGAGACTTACCACAGTCTACTACGTCTCTGCGAATTCTTTTGAGTTTTGCCACCATTTTATCGGAAAGTGAGTTAACAGATTTGATGTTTAAGACGTAAGCCACGCAGTGGATCCTGTCCTTCATTGGTGGAGACATGACGTGCCTAGGCACAATTGGCTTACATGGGTCGAACTGGATAGAAACACATGTTGAGATTCACTTTTCAGAGACTTTGCGTCGTTTCCACAGCAGAAACCACAACCACTCACTCACTCCTCTGTCCCCAGCATCTTCCCCTGGTTTCTTATTTGTGACTTCCCTCCTGCCTGCTTCTCATTGCCAAGATCTCACTATAGTGTTCTTAAGGACAAATGGCTTTTATGTTTTGATAGCAACGATGACTAACCACAGTAATCATTGAAGGGAAATGCAAAGAATCTTTTAAAAAACGACTTAAGTATCCAATCTCCAGAAGCAAATATCACTAAGATTTGCTATGCATCATTTAAGATCCTCTCTGAGAATTTTGCAAACTTAAAGGGTCTAAAGCCAGGCAGAGAAAAGAGAATGAGATGACATTTAAACTTAAAGGCTATGATTTCTTAATTTTTTTCAAGATAAAGAAAGATGAAGTGAAACCAAAGAAATGTCAACTTCCAAGTTAGCTTCTCCTTACCACAAACATGACAATGATCTTTCTGTTATTGAGAAACTAGATTCCAAAACATAGTAAACATTTATGTGTGTGCACTCCTCTCCCCCCTCCCCGCTCTGTGTGTGTGTGTGTGTGTGTGTGTGTGTGTGTTCAATGTTGAACTGAATTGCTTGTTCTCTGCTATGAAACTGAGGGTCTTAGTGATTAGACTTTTCTGTCTTTCTGCTCTCTTCCTCCCTGTAATTGTGTAATTCCTTTCCCTAACTAGACTGTAAGTCTCTTGAAAATAATACCCGAACTCTTGATTAACTGTGGATTTTTTTCAGTTGTACTCTTTATGTCTAGAACAAATTATATTTTTAATAAATAAATTTCAAATGAAAAGTTAGCAGATTGTCAATCCTTTCAATCAAGCTCAACTGAAAGGGGAAAAGGTAAATGTTTAGAAACTGAAACCGATGCCATTATATTAGACACCTAAAAGAGAGGTGACAAGTGGTTAACTCTTTGAGCACTTAGAAAAGGTCACTCACCTTATATTCTCAGATGCTCTAGGGGGCAAGCAGCATTAATTATCACACTTCCTATAATTAAAATCCAAGGCTTAAAAAGAACACTGTGTAACTTCCTTTATGGGTGCACATCTAATAAAGATCCAAGCATGTAATAGCGCTGCCTCGCTCTTGTGGAATACATCAACAGACAGTAGATAATTATTCTAATATCTAGTCTGTATAATTAAACATTCACAAATTAAACTAGCACTGGTTTAGCTACTTAAATGATTTCATCACTCATTATTGAAAGAATCATGTAAACAAAACAGTACTACGGAATATCTCCTGGAATTCGGGTAAGTCAAGTCCTGCCATTTTGTGTTAGTTCTCAATGGCACAGACTGTAAGGACCATCTCTTTAGCTTTCTCTCATAAATACAGATTCACTGAAAGTAAAGTAGTGCTAATGTTGGAATCATATAAGGGCATTTCACATAGTCTTGTAGGGTAGAGATGCAATGAAACAGTTTTAAGTGTCTTGGGGTGGAAGAAATCTTACCTGATACCTGTCTGGGACATGGCCTTTTAAGATATGAGGTATGTCATCCATGCATAATCCTGCTTCTTCCCTCTCATCCAGACCCATTGAGTCACACAACATAAACGGAAGTGTCTTCCCACCTTCTCCATCTTTAACAGAATATATTCTGTACTGTAAAAAAGGGTTGAGTTAGACTATATTAGTTAGCATTCAAGCTGAAAAGAGAAATAAGTTAATATTTTAAAATAGTAGCCTGGAACTGGCCGGACCCCCCACATCAGCCTCCCAAGGGCTGAGATTATAGGCATGTACCACCACGTCAAGCCTGAAAAAAAATCCATTTCTTCAGTATTCAAAGCTGCTTTGTCTTCACTGTTCTTCTACATGTGGTACAGGAGATGGTCTAATACTGCACTCTACTAGGAAGTACAGAACCCACCTGTGATATCACAACAATTTGGACCTTGAAGTCTTTTAATTAATGCTTAATAAATTCTCATTGTAGCATCTTGCCTTGACTTCTCACAATAGGCTGACATGGTGAAATAAATCCACATAAGAAACAAGATGCAATTCATTTAAGTATTAGAAACATTTTGAGTTATTGAATATAGAACCACTGATAAACTGATGTTATAGTCTCATAATATATTATAGTCTTATAATGTATTTTCAACAAGCGCCATAAGATACTTTATATTTCTAATTCTCGGATCTGTAAAATCAAAATGCTTCTCTGGATAATATTATCGAATAGAGACAATTCTGATACAATGTTTACTTCTATTTTACTTAGTTATTTGGTGTTTAACTGTAGATTAGGAAGAAGGTTATGTCTGAGAAAAAAATTACAAAGAAATGAACAAATTCATTCACTGTGACCTATAAATCTCAATCTTCCACCTGAGAGAACTCACCTGTTTGGTAATGCTGGTTTCATCAGTTCCCACGACTGCCTGGCGAGTGAAGTGGCCTTGGAAAGCAGACTTCACTGAGTTGAAAAAGCTGGACTTCCCAGAACCCACGGGGCCCACCAGCAGAATACGGACTTCAGAAACCAAGTTTCCACTGGGCCTGTAGGCTCGGAGAGCAGATAGGAACCTTCTTCGGTGCCTATAAAGAATGCAGTGATTAAATACAGCAGCAACAGATCTTTCTCACAGTAATTTAATTAGGCTAGAGCTTCTGTTTCTTGGCATTTGGACGTGGGTTTAGCTACACACTTATTTCAATAGTAGCTCTATCATATATTACATATAACACCCTAAACATAAACATCCTGGGTTAAATATTTTGCACTTAGATAAACCACACATATGTTAGAGTGAAAGGTTCTTTTTGTCTTGTTAGTTGTTGCTTGTTTTTTTGTTTTTTGAGACAGGGTTTCTCTGTGTAGCCACATCTGTCCAAGACCAGGTTGGCTTCGAACTCACAGAGATCTGCCTCCCTTTGCTTCTGAACTGCTGTGATTAAAGGCATGCACCACCACTACCTAGCATGAAATCTTAACCTGTAACAAGCCACAGTTACCCTTATAACACAAATCTCTGAGAGATATAACACTGAAAGTACATGATTATTGGCAATAAAATATTAAGGGGAAATAAAAATATATTCATATCTATAAATTGGAAAAGAGAGATTTTGTTTTGATACTGGAATAGTATCTGTCAATAACTTTTTATCATTCCAAGTAATAAGATTTTTTAATATTTGTTATTGGTTCATTGTCAGCCCTATTACCATAACTGATCTAAATAAAATGAATAACAAGCCAGTCAAGAAGCTAACTTACTGTTTGACGTCCACCATCTTCTTTATGATGCTTGGATCATTCTTAACACCTACAGAAAATAAGCACAGTGCAGTAAGCTCCTTGACTTGTTTGGTCCTCTGTGGTCAAGTCTCTCTCCTAAACAGGGATGGTCTGTTTGTATAACCCTGGCCTTCCCAACTATGAGTTTAAGGTGGCAGCATCCTGATAGGAAGAAGAGAAAAACCGCGTTCCTTGGCAAGTCAAAGTTTCTCTCTGCTGTCACCCATCCCTCCTCTCTCCCAGTTCTACATCTCCATATCTGTCTTTTAAGGGAATAAAATTATGACTATGACCTGGGAACATAGATGTACGTCATGTTCCATGTTCCATCGATTTTATTGTTTTACAGAACAAAGATAGTCATAAATCAAGGCGAGTGTAAAATGTGTTGGTGGGTGCATCAGAGAGGCAGAGGAGAGGGAGGTCATCTTTATCTTTATGCATATCCCTCTTTGCTCACAGCAGTCTACAGTCCTTAGTCCTGCATACTAAATCAATGTTTATTCATAATTTTCCTTGTCCGTGAACACCAATGATGATACATGAACTGCAAAGACTATAACCAAATGCAGAGGCACATTATCCTTTCATACATACCATCAACTCGAAAAATTTCGCATTCCAAATATTCAGAGTAAGACTTAAGATTAAGTTCTAGTTTTTTTAAGACTTCCATGTTTAGATGAACTTTCTGTTTGTTTGGATGAACAGTGATCGACAAACCATCAGGTGAGAAAAACTTGAGCTGTGAAACATTGATTTCTACCTGTGCATTCGAAAATAGAGCTGATATTCCAGTGCTGTTATTCTCTTTAAATGCAAACAGAACACAAGTACTTGGCTTTCCAGAATGTAAAATGGGAAAGTGTTCCAGCATAAAAATACCCACAATGTCTTGCTCCAAATGAACTACTGTCATTGTGGAACCCTGATGACAGCATTTCTTGGCCATATCAAAAGTGCATGATCCATGAACTCCAGACTTATAAAGAAGAGTCAACGTTGTATTCCCAAGTAGTTTTCCCAGAACCCTTTCCTGTATCCATGCCAATCTGGTTGTCACTTCCATATTCCTGCAACTAATAGAAAAACAAGTGAAAGTTGAGTGACTACCATAATATAGCAGTTTAAGTTACAAGTTTCTGTTTAGTTCCAGTAAGTTCTATTGTCCTCTGATGTTGTTGAAACACATTAATATTTTGAAGCCAAAAAAGATACAATGTACAGATACAGAAATAGCAACTCTATATGAAAAGTAGATACTTTAGAAATGATAAGTAGCATTAAAATTTAACACTGGGCTGAGAATAATGGCACATTCCTTTAATTCCTGCACTCAGGAGACAGAGGTAAATACATTTCTGTGAGTATAAGGCAGGCCTGGTCTATATACACAGTGAATTCCAGTCCAGCCAGAATTGCATAGGAGACACACATACCAGTCACCCAAAATGCTAAAATGTGAAGTAAAGTACAGCTCCAGATAGACTAACAGAACTAAAAAAAGAATCTTTATTTGGGGCTACAACAAAAAGAACACTCTGCCAGCTTTATCCAGAGATGGTGGGTTGGCATTCTGAAGAGTACTAGAGGAGAAATTAACAGATTGGAAGGTATGCGGAATGTGTTTTATCTCCCAATAGCTTCAGTAGTGTTACATTCAGATAAGCAGGTTTCTGGTGTGGATCATTGAATGGTAACTTAATTGCTGCATATCATCTGAAATAAGGTGAAATCAGACACTACAGATACAAGCTATAAAGGAAAGATAGGATGACTTTGAAAATGAGTGACTGCCTTATAACAAGACACAATAAAGAAAAAAACCAGTGGATGAATTATAATGCGTGTTCTACAGAGCTACCCTGCAGAGGACTAAGGAAACAACGAACCACACAGAAGAAAAACAACCCAAGAACGTGAAGAGCAAAAAAATCAAAGATGTGGTGACCCAAAAGAGTGACAAGCACAAAAAAAATGAGATAAACATGTTGTAATACGACTCCTGCTGAATACATCTCACATCAGAATAAATATCCAGTGCAACAGTTGCAGATACAGATACAGAGACTTGAAAGTCCTGGTGTTGGAGGCTGGAGAGATGGCTAAACAACTCAATGAACTCGCTACTTTTCTAGAGGACCTGGGTTCAGTTCCCACCACTTCCCCAACCACCTGAAACTCCCATTTGAAGGGGTCCGAGACTGTCTTCTGGCTTCTGCAGGCACTGCCTGCGTGGATACACATACGAACAATCAGACATAAACACACACCCATAAGACAAATGTTCTAAATCAAATTGTTGACATTGTCCTGATGGCCACATTGGGTTCAGCAGAAAGTGTATATTCAGGCCCGCACGGTTTACAAAGACACGAGTAGAGCAGGTACACACAGCTGGCATGCCTCCACAATGAAGATCTACAGAAGCTGGTGTCAGCAGACTAGCTCTGTTCTAATAAACATGGGTAAAGGTCAAATAATTTTCTTCCAACTTAGAAAGCAAACTAAGCACGAGAGATTAAGCCTGGTGCCACCTCCATAAAATGTTAGCACAAAGCAACACCAAAGATTCCATTCATACATTATGCCCGCAGTAGATGGACAAACATAAGCATGGTAATGATGTCTGGGTTATGCTTCCCTCTGTCAAAGGGGTAAAGAAGGGAACAGAGGACAGAGTCATAGATCGCTTCTACTTTTCTTCCAAAGCATTCTCGTTGAGTGAAGCAAATCATGGCTGAGATGTGGTTAGAACTATCTGGAGACTTTCTCTTTTTGAGTTCACGCTCCCTGAACACAGCAACGTGTGAAACTTTCGTTAAAGTAAACACCTAAATGAATGAGAACAGCGTGGGCCACCCTGCCAGCTTCACCCTGAAGAGCAAAGAGAACCAAGCGGTGGCCAGGAAGTGCTTACCCACAGCTGAGCCTGGAGCAGACTGAAACAGAGGGCAAGAGAAGTAGACTTCTTTTTCTGAGCTGTGGAGCAGACAGAAGACAGAAACTTCGTTGGCTGACTTAGTTTCCAGAATCACAAGCAGAGAAACAAAACTGAAACTCAAGACAGGAAGTGCTTGGTTGGCTGCACCCAATTGCCTTAGCTCTCGTTTTCCTCAGTAGGAAGAAAGAAGATGAGAAAGAGAAAACCAGACTCCCCCCCCCCAAAACGTATCCTTGAGTCTGACTACATGCAGACATGCATGAAATGGTGGTGACTCATGAAAACTCACAGTAAAAAAAAATTCCTTCCTGTAAGATTGCCTGTGCCTACGGCCCTACGCCCTAATACTTTCACAAGTCTTCCTAGAACAGCCCCGTGCCTGTTAATAGCTCTGCTGGGTGGGACAGCTGGTGCTGTTCAAGACCTAGACCCCTTTATTGGACCAAGTACGTGACGGTTCTGCTTTCCCTGACTCCACGCAGCACCACAGAGCTCATTGTCCTATTTACATGCGCATTCGCACACCAGCTCTAGACCTGGGAGAGAAGTTGAGCTGGATAAAAGTAACGGTGTTGAGAAGGACGCGGAATGCTCAGGGAAACAGACACATACGCGGGCAGGTACCCACATTAAACTAGCCAGGACGCTGACGAGCAACGGACTTACACAAGTAAGAACTTAGTTATGAACGTGAGCACACGGACATAGACGAGCAGTATCAGAGAAAGCAGGTCCGTGAGCCTAGCAAACACAACAGATGGCCATGGTGCAGCCGCTCCGTGTGCGTTGTGTAAGAGAGGGGCTGTCCAGCAACAACGCTGGGACTGGGAGGTAACCTGAACGGCCTAGGCCACTTCTCAAAGTGCATCACGGGACTGACAACCTGCAAACCCCTGAGCTCAGCATGACCTGTCTGCATGGTTAGACCCACATGAAATAAATGACCGTTCATCTGGCCCAAGCGCACCTGAGCCAGCTCTGAGTTTTGCGCCAATTCTGCTCCGGCAGCTCGTTGTGCTGCCCCTTCTTCAGCGTTATTCCTTACATACGTATGTCATCCGAGCACCTGCCAGGACTCTTGACGTCTCCATTGACTCTCTAGAAAGGCTTTTGAGACCTTCTCTCGTTGGGCCTTCCTTGGCCATCCTGTACTCTGTATGTGATTGTTGTGTGTACAACACAGTGCGGGATCTGCTAGCAATTAACGATGGACTCTAACAGAAGAATGTGTAGCCGTCAAAACCAATCAGGAGTGCTCAGTGAATTCTGAAGTGTGTGCAACTGTTTAGTTTATTGCCTTTCAAACAAATCCAAACATGCAGTAAGACACAGAAAGTGTCGTCAGTCATGACGAAAAGATTCATGGGAGAGAGTGAGAGCATCTGAAGTAGAATCCCCATCTCAGAGTCCAGATCTTAAAGACTTAGACAGGCCCAAGTCTTGTGGCCTGTGAAGAAGTCATGCAGCTAAGCAGAGAGTCCTCTGAAAGTAGTATTTCCTATTCCTGTGGCCAAGCCAAAGGCGCTGAAACCACACTCACTGCTACTACGGCAGGCTGAGTATCACCATCTCTTTCTTCTCCTTCTCTTTCTCCTCTCTACACTCTTCCTGAGACACACTTGCGGACTGGCTCAAGGGCTGCGTTGACTTCTACTCTCTGGTCCCTCATCTCATGATCTCTCCGTGGTAGGCATGTTTTCGCCTCCTCTACAGCTTTCCTCTGCTGCGTTTCTTGTTTCCTGTTTGTGGTTTGCCTCAACCTCTCCTTGTCAAGCCTGAAATCCTTCAGTTAAGGGAACACACGATTGAGAATATAGATGCCCCCAGCTCCACCCCCACCAAGACTGCACAATGCTTTCACATAACTATTTTGACATGGTTGAGTTTCTAAAGAAAAATATTTCATGAAAAATCACACCATCCCATTTTTGCTATGGCTTTTATTTATAAAAAAAATTTGACCAAATAGTAAAGGGAACTCTAAAATGCCTGGAGTTAGTATGTGGTAAGAATAAATTGCAACACTTATAATGATTTTCTAAGACTGAAAATGTTGAAAATAACCATTAGGAAATTTCCAAGTAGGTGTTTGCTCCAAAAAATTACTTTAAGGATATTTACAAGTATTATTACTGGGTGTATCTCATGTCATAGTTTATCATATGCAAAAATATGAATATTGATATGTGGATTCTACTAGTCCCCAGGTTAAGTATCATTTTCAAATAAATTCACAGTTCACCAAAAAGACAAGAGTATAAAACCAGTAAAAATTATGAGCTAAATGTCTAACACAAGAAAAATATTTTACTATTCATTGAAAAATCATCTTTCATAGCTGTAGTGTTACTTTTATGGTAAATCTTAATAAACAACTTGATTACATTGAAGACAATCTTTTGATAGTGAGTCATGACTGATATGATTGGTTTGGGACACAGGTACGGGAGAGATGCCACAGCACCCTCCTCCTAGGTGTGTCTCAGTGTTTCCAGGACAGCAGCCATTTAAGAGGGAAGACATACCTCAAATGTGGGTAACACTACCCAAAAGGCGTAGAGCTCAGATGGAGAAAAACCGTGGACAAAGGAGGGGCAACCAAATCAGCAAGCTCAATTCCTCCTAAAAGTCACCAACACCATGGGCACCAGAGTCTAACGGTTGGACCTCTCCTGGGTTTATTCTCAGACAGGAGCTATATAAATTCTTGTTTCATAGCTTCTAATTTGTTAGACTCAGCAGCTCTCCAACCATGATGGGACTTTCTACCTCTCCTTGTATAAACCGGTGTAATAAAAATCTTTCTTATATGTTTAATTACACAGAATAACATTACTTTATATATTGTTGTTCCTACCCCCTCCCCCCGGCAAAACTCTGACTGATATGATATGAATGCACACAAACTTACGTCCTTATGCAAAACAAATCAGAAATGATAAATCAGAAACTAAAAACATTGCTTACTAACTGGTGAGATAGGGTATATTAAGAAGGGTAAAGACACAGGAGAAGAAGTCATAGAGTAAGCAGGGATGGCGCTTCTCTAAGTTATGAGTAAGTGTGTGGATGGCACTTCTCTAAGTTATGAGTAAGTGTGTGGATGGTGCTTCCTTTGGATAGATCTACAGCTATTGTAAAGTTTCAATTTTGAGATGATGAAAAGAAAGATAATCAAAATCAACCCAAGATAGAGATGGAACCAAAAATAGACTATAGACTACAGATAGCGGTTGAACTTGTGTCAGTGAATGTCAGAGGCCAACTATAGAGAATGGGGAAGGAAACAACACAAACTAAAATGGTGTCGTGACTATGCTTCCAAGCGCTAAGTGTCTATAAAACACTTCACTGCAGTTAAAAACATTTAGACAAAATAGGACTGGATTAATGATTATACCAGAACTGAAGAAAAATACATGGCAGATTGTGGTGGTTTGAATTAGAATAGCTCCTGTAGGCTCCTGTGTTGAATGCTTAGTCACCAGGGAGAAGGACTGGAGGACCAGGAAGTGAGGCAGCGTTGGAAGCAGTGTGTCTCAGGGAGGGGGCCTTGAAGTTTCAAAAGCCCACAAGAGGCTCAGTGTCACTCTATCTGCCTGATGCCTGGAGACCAAGATGTAAAGATCACAACCACTGCTCCAGGACCATTCCTGCCTGCCTGGACCCATGCCCCCCCCCCCGTGGTGGTCATGGACTCACCCTCCAAAATTGTCAGCAAGCCCCCACTAAATGCTTTCTTCTGCAAGTTGCCTTAGTCATAGCCTCTCTTTTCTTAGTGATGTTCATTGATGTCCCCAAGTAGAGAATGGCTGTGGTGGTTTGAATGTAATTGGCCTCCATAATCTCATAGGGAGCGGCACTATTGGGAGGTAGGACTTTATTGGAGTGGGTGTGGCCTTCCTGGAGGAAATGTGTCCCTGAGTGGGTGGGCTTTAAGGTTTCCTATTGCTCAAGGTACCACTAAGTAGACTTCCTGCTGCCTTCTGGCCAAGATGTGGCTGACATCATGCCTGCACACTGCCATGCTCCCCCCTTCATGATGATAATGGACTGAACCTCTGAAACTGAAAGCTACCCCAATTCAATGTTTTCTTTATAACAGTGGTGTCTCTTCACAGCAATATAACCCTAAGACAATGGCTATAGCAGGAGCAACTTAATAAACTAAATAATGGTAGGGACTGAAGAGATGACTCAGCAGTTAAAAGAGCTAACTTCTATCTCAGAGGACCTGGGTTCGCAGACATTTTTAACTCCATTTCCAGGGGATCAGACTCCTCTCTGACTTTCTCAGGCTCTTGTACGCATACAGGTGTGTGTACGCACGTACATGAAAACACACACACATATGTGTATATATATAAAATGAATAAAAATAGTGTTAGACTGCAAGCCGTAAGATAAACATGGAGTAAATAATTAAATGAATAACAATATATCACTCTTAATCCCAATTTATAAATGCAGAAAATTAAAACTTGGTGCTAGAAAAATTTCATAGCTATGAATTTTGTAAGCAAGATGCAGAACTTTAATGTCAGATACTATGACAATAAAATACAAAACCCATACAGCAATTACAATGTAGAAGAGGCTTATAGTGATGAGGTTTAAGGCTAGTAGAAAAGCAGGTATAAGTTTATATTCGTTGATGGAGAAAGGAAACTCTCCTACCAGGCAGAAATCCAGACCTGGAGTATGGTAGAGGCTCAACTAATTGGCAGACAACACCCAATCCTGCAGGGCCACCGCACTGGTAGGAAACCATTTCCTAAGATTCTGGAGAAAACTGGTCCCAGACAGTGTCTCACTGCTACACAGTCACCTTAGGGGAGATCCTGGAAAATAGTCTACTAATGGTTGATGGCTATTATTGGCCATCATGCATAGCAGGAGAAGATCACTGCCATAGCTGTGCCTGCTGCCTGAAGTAGACCACACAAGCTGTAGAGTCCATGGGACCCAAGAACAAAGCCTTTCTCTTACAGCATCTCTCCAGCGCCCTCTGCTGGAAAGGCAGAAAGCCTGTGAAGAAAATATATTCGAAGAAACTAAATGCATTTTTAGAGCCTAAGCAATGGGGAGTGTGTAGAGAGCTGGGAAGTAAATTGAAAAC